AGTCTGAGCCATGAGACCAAAGAACACTACTAGGAAAAACACACAAGTACCACACAAGCAGGTCAACCGCAGACAGGTGCCCCATTATTTGTAACACATGGTTTCCCACTGATCACTCTTTCAGACTGAACCCAGGAAAATGCAGAACTCGAGAAGCTATTGTGAAAAAGCAGTACCTGTTGATGTACAGTTCCACTGGGGATTGGGTCCAGGACCTCCTGTGGATACCAAAGTCTGTGGGTGCTCAAGTCCCTTTATATACAATGGCATAGTAAAATGTCCTTATATAAAGCAGCAAAATAAAGATTTGCTTTTTGGAGTGTGAGTGTGTTGGTGAATATTTTCGTGGTTGGTTGAATTCCTGAATGCAGAATGCAGAGGGCCAACTGTAATACTTTACCGAGTATTCTACAGCAGTTACCGCTATATTGCTTTACCTTCCTGTTTCTCAAAAGTAACACACTTTTTAGCTTCCTAAAAGTCTGAATGCTGCAAGCCACTGACCAATGGTACAAATCACATCCAACTTCCTGCCCACCATGTTATTCCCTGAACACTAACAGAGCAGCAGGAGCATGCCAGCATTTGAACCATGTGGTATTCTTTCTCTACCATTTCGTGAAGCTGCATCTCCAAATCTATAAAAGTAACTTTTAAGAGTCAAAGCTACACTGTGATGAGGGACTGAAATTATCCCTTCTTAAGTTACAATTGCAATGAAAGGTAATTATACCTTCATTGATGGAAAAAAATAATTAATGATCAGCAACTCATTATTTGTAATGCACTTTAGTGAATATATATTTTAGGGGTTTTAAAACTTGACTATTTTGTTCCCAAGCAGCCAGCATGTGTAGTGGTTTGGACATTGGACTACAACTCTGGAGACCAGAGTTTGAATCCCCAGTCAGCATGGAAACCCACCAGGCGACCATGGGCAAGTCACATGCTCTCAGCCATAGAAAACCCCAAGATAGAGTCGCCTTAGGATAATAATAATAATAAAATTTATTTGTACCCCGCCCCTCTGCTCAGCAATTGAGGCGGCTTCCAACATAAAAATACAATACAATAAAATCAATCCCAAACCCAAACCCTCCCACCCCTTAAAAGTTAATTAAACAAACATCAAATTAAAACAATTTTTAAAATAAGGCAAAGTGCCGACAAAATACAATAACTACAGCAGCAACGGCTATAATAGCAGCTGGGATGGGGGGAAAAAGAGGTGCAAAAAGACAGGCTCTATGACCGGGAAGTCTAGTCAGGAAAGGCCTGCCGGAAGAGATCCGTCTTGACCGCCCTTTTGAAGCTGTCTAAGGTTGACATATAACAGATCTCATCCGGCAGGCTGTTCTATAGTCTGGGAGCAGTCATCAAAAAGGCCCTCTGGGAAGTAGCCGACAGTCTAGATTTTTTCACCTGTAGCAGATTCCTCCCAGAGGACCGGAGTGCACGGGGCGGATTATACGGGAGGAGGTGGTCTCGAAGGTAGGCTGGACCCAAGCCATTTAGGGCTTTATAGGTGATAACCAACACCTTGTACTGGGCCCGGAAACTAATAGGCCGCCAGTGAAGAGACTTCAGTACAGGTGTTATGTGGTCTCTTTTAGATGTAACAGAGATCAACCTGGCTGCCATATTTTGCACTAATTGAAGTTTCCAAACCAAGCACGAGGGTAGCCCCATGTAGAGTGCATTGCAGACATCCAGACAGGAGGTTACCAGAGCATGTACCACAGTTTCAAGGTCTCTTACTTCCAGGAAAGGGTGCAGCTGGCGTATCAGCCAAAGCTGATAACAGGCGCTCCTGGCCGTCGCATTCACCTGATTAATCATCTGCAGCGACAAGCCCAGGAGCACTCCCAGACTGCGAACACAGTCCTTTGCAGTAAGTGTGATCCCATCCAGGACTGGAGGTTGTATCCCAATGCCTGGTTTCGGGGCCACTACTGTAAGTGCCTCCGTTTTATCTGGATTCAGTTTCAATCTGTTTTCCTCATCCAGTCCATTACCGCCTTAAGACAATCATTGAGAGGAGAGAAGCCATCTGAAGTCGAGACTGATGACCAGGACATGGTGAAATATATCTGGGTGTCATCAGCGTACTGATAACACCCTGCTCCATGTCTCTGAATAATCTCTCCCAGAGGCTTCATATAGATATTAAATAACGTCAGGGACAGAATGGTGCCTTGAGGGACACCACACTTGAGCTCCTTCCTAGTGGAGCTACTGTCCCTGAGCAGCACCCTCTGGGATCGACCCGAGAGGAAGGAATGGAACCACTGCAAAGCAGTGCCTCCGATTCCCAGCCCCCTCAGGCAATCCAAGATCACCATCAGAAATGAATTGAAGACACACAACAACATTTTGTTCCTAAAAGTGTGGATGAATTATTTCCACAGTTTTTTCCCTAGTGCTGAAATGACAAAAAATTCTTCACAGTTCTCTCCTGGTATTCTAGAAATTATTCTGCACGCATACACATATGGGTGGTTTTTTAAAAAATAAGAATTGTAGGGTTTGGTGCAATTTTTTTCCAGGCAGCCACATGTGATTTTTGTGCATGATTGCTCCATGCAAGACTTTTGTCATGTGGGTTTGCTGGGTTTTGCATAGAAAGCAACAATCTTGCACAACCAAACCTCGTCATATTTTTTGTGCAAAACTGCAACCTTTCACAAGTTTTCTTTGTGACTTTTGTTATGCAAGATTTCTGAATATTTTGTGCAAGATTTCTATTGTGAAACATCTTTTTTTGTAAGATTTTCTGTTGTGCAAGATTTTATGTTGTGGGCTTTCCATAGAGAAATAGGAGGAAGAAACAGCAATCTTGCACAAAAAGAATCAGCTGTTGTCTGAAAACAATGCATTTTGTGCAAACCTCCACAATTATTCCCAGGTCTTAGGACCTGGCTCTGAATCTCAGAGCTTAGAACCTTTACTCTGATCCTCAGGGGGAGAGGGAGGAATAATAATAATAATAATAATAATAATAATAATAATAATAATGGGAATGCACTGAGACTGTTCCTCAGGGACATCATCAATGCATCCCTCAGGGAAGGTTATGTTCCATCATGTTTGAAGGAAGCGACGGTTAGGCGCTTCTGAAAAAGCCTTCCCTGGACCCCCTGGATATGAACAACTATAGGCCAGTCTCATTATTACCTTTTTTAAGCAAAGCGATTGAGAGGATGGTTGCTCTTCAACTCCAAGCTGTCTTGGAAGAAACCAATT